CTCTCGGTTCTCAGAAGATAGGGACAAATGCACACACACACACACACACACACACACACACACAATAACCTGCCTCCCAATGTAACTTGCTGAAGGACCTAAATTTGCATTGCTGGTGAAGTGGAGAAGCACTGTCTCACGGGAGCCTGTTATGCCCGTGTTCAAGACAATAAACATTTGCTTCTTCATGGTGTAAAGTGTCACTGGAGGACAGTTACCCTGCTTATGGTCTGACGTGTTTCTGTGCAGTCAGAATGAAGTCATGATGTCTTGTCCCTAATCAGCTGTGGGCTCTGCCAGGGTGCCTGCTTTGGATTATGCTGCCTCGGGAGAGAGGGGCCGTTTTCTTCACAGAGCTCTAGCCTAGGACTCTTCACACACTGTGCATAGTCAGGAAGGTCCCATGAGGTAGGACCAACATCAAGAATTGGTTACATTTCCTCATTTTAAACTATTATTGAGTACTTTGAACTGGAGAGATGGCTTTATTTTTTGTTTGTTTTGAGGACAAGGTCTTGCTAAGTTGCTCATACTGGTCTTGAACTCATGGGCTCAAGAAGTCCTCCCACCTCAGCTCCGGTAGCTGGGATTACAGATGTGTATCACCACAATCCAGTTTGGAATGGTTTAATTTTATAAATATTAGTTAATCCAAAGATGGTATATCTGTATGATGGAATATTATTCAGCCATATAAAGGAATGAAATACTGATTCCTGGACAACATGGGTGTTGATGTTATGCTACATTATGCTAAGTGAGAGAATCCAGTCACAGAGGATCCTGTGTTATATACAATTCTATTTCTGGGAAATGTCTGGAATAGGCAAATGCATAAGGACAGAAAGTAGATTAATAACTGCCAGGGCCTGGGGGAGGGGAAGAGGGAAATGGGGAGTGACTGATGATGGGTATGGGTTTTTATTTCTTAGAGTGATGAAAATATTCTAGCCAGGCACTGGTGGTTCATACCTGCAATACCAGCTAATCAGGAGGCAGAGATAAGGAGGATCATGGTTCAAAGTCAGCCCCAGGGAAATAGTTTGTGGAACTCTATCTCAAAAATACCCAACATAAAAAAGGGCTGACAGAGTGGCTCAGGTAGTAGGTGCCTAGCAAGTGGGAGGTCCTGAGTGCAAACCCAGTACTACCAAGAAAAAAAAAGTTCTGGAACTAGATAGTGAAGATGCTTGTATATCTCTGTCGATACACTAAAAACTACTGAAGTATATACTTTAATGTGGGTTAATTTTATGATATGTAAGTTGTATCTCCGTTAAAATATGTGTGTGTGTGTGTAGACTTACACCTACTGATCTACCTGTGGAAAGATATGGTGATAGGGAATTAGGCTCCTATTGCTCTGTTTCCTTATCTGTAAGATGATAATAAGAGGGTATGTAACACCTCTGGCATAACTAGTAACCAACTTAGCTCTCTGTCTTATCTATTCTCTATTCGTCTCTGCCAGTTTAACTTATTAGTAAGAAAAACATAAGAATGAGTCATGTCAATAAATGTCTTAGTGAAAGATTCTGTGCTAGGTTCTTTCCCGTTGTAGGCCATTAAACTTTGGCCACTCATTGCCACCATGCAGGACTATGCTGCTAATCATAGAGTATGACTTAATTGATACAAAATCTTAGGTGGAATGTGACCTCAAATTTAAATTCAAAGTATGGTTTGTGATGTGTTAGTTGTGATGTCTTCTTTGCAAAGAGTTAACCTTGTGCTAATATTCCATCCCTAGCACATTGGGAGTTGGCCAACTTGGATATAGCTCAGTGACATGGTGAATAGTTTGAAGAAAATCTATCTGATTCCTCCAGAGCTACCCACTTTCTCTTACATTAATAACAGAGGAAATGTGTTGCCAGGGTAACAGAAGACTGCTCACAAGTCATAAAGATTTGATATTTATGGAAAAATCACCCCATTTCCTGTCAACACAAATAGAAGGGCTTCCTTATCAGGAAATGACAGTTTGAAAAGAATTCCTATTTATCTTGACTTAAAAAGATGTTTTGTTTTTCAGTGTGATTTAACTTCAGAGAATTTCATCAATTGAACTTATTTCCTACCTTCTTTGTTCCTTTGGTTTTAAACATGTGGTTTGGTTTTACTCATGGTGTAGTCAGATTTTCAACCTAAAAAGTCTTTTAAAAATATTTTCCATTTCAAACTAACATTATTTTAGTTTAATTATGAGGTAAACTGAATTTTGTGGGTTCACCAAGACCCATCCTTCATTTGAAAGTTTCCCTGTTAACCCACTTGGATCTACCCACCTGTCTAGTGGTGACAAGGGAGACAGACAAATGGCCTGCTTCTTGGATTACAGGGTGAGCCTCTGCCAGGTGTTCTGACTACCCTGGAGCCTCCAGCAATCCCCTGCAGCTTCTAGACCCATGATAACTCATACAAAATATGTCTTCTCAAGTGACCTCAGTGCCATCTTGCCCTTGAACTTTATCCATTTGGCCTTTTTCCATGAGCATTAAACTTGGGGGTATACCTTGAAAAATGACACCATCCAAAGGTCACCAGAGTGGTTTCCATTCTGGGCAGTTTTCTTTGGGTCAGGATGTGATGACTGTTCCAAGAGAAACGAGAGTGTTTGTTCCCCTGGACCCTGGCAGTAATGTTGGCCTCAGACTAGAGAAGACTCCCACACCCTTTGTTTTACACCTGAATGTGCTCACTTCCTAGACCTCATGGCTTTCTGCCTTGTGGAAGATGGTGTGCCAATCCCCGCAGATGGACCTGTTTATGGCTTGCCAGCTACTTAGGAGTAGTGGTGTTAGCGCTGGGGCCCAGTGGAAATGAACTGGTATAATAACCTCCCCCCAAGGGAAACTTTGGAGTGCCCCTGCACACTGTTTGTAAGCCATTTTAATGACTTTTAATGGGTCTGTGGCAAAATGCAAAGCTGCAGGCTTATTGGAAACAGACTTGGGGTCTGGGAGTTTGGTCTGTGGTTTACTGAAAATGTAGGAAAAAGAAAGGGGTGGTGAATAGGAAATGCCACGTGATCAGACATCCCAAGATTGATTCCTGGCAGCTGAGTGGACCTCAGCAAGATGCTCAGACACTGGCCTCAGTGTCCTCAGCTGTAAAGTGGGGATAATAAGACTCACCTCTTTAGGCTTAAAGCAGGTAAGAACTGAGTCATCTGAGACAGTGTCTGACATACTGGGCTCAAGAACATGTTTTGCCATTTCTTGCACTTAGAAATAAAGACGCAGTCTTTGGCCGAACCACCCTGAACATGCCCGATCTTGTCTGATCTCGGAAGCTTAGCAAGGTTGGGCCTGGTTGGTACTTGGATGGGAGAAATAAAGAAGCAAATTTTGTAAAGGCACAGTAGTTTGAATGAGCGTATAACTTCCTTTGTGAAGGAAGGAGACAGGCTCCTCTAACCCCCTACCATCTATTTATTCTCTGATATAGTTATATGTGATGATCTCAAATGTAGAAGTTTGTAGTAATGTTGGAGCTTTGGTTTGGAAATTCCTTAAACCACTCAATTATAGGCACTCACCTGCATCAATGCCCGTACAATCAATCAACTCTCCATGTATTTTCTACTAGTTTTCACAAATCACCTAGCAGCTGCTATATTTAGATGTGTTGGTGGCTGATTCATTTTCCCATTAGGAATTTTTGTCATAACCTTCAACCAAAAATACTAAAGCTCCATATACCCCTAAATTTGTTACCATTCCACTAGTACGAAATAAATGCCTGGGTGCCTCTTTCCTGTTTGCTAAAGTCTCTCTTATTACCTCCACCTGAGTATAATCTATTTAAGCATGCACTCCTGGAAGACTGATGCTGTTTTTGCTGAATTGTTCTGTATAGTGCTGGGCACATTTCCTGACAGGACCTTCACTGGTGTTCGAGATGACGATGAGGAGGGCTCTCAATTCATCTTCCAGCTCCGTGAGCCTTAGCATGGAGTCCCTTTGGAACATATTTTATACCATTACCCCTGTGATTAATCTCAACTTTATTTACATACCACAAAATTCACAATGTTAAGTGTATGATTCCATGGTCTTTGGTAAGTTTACAGAGATGTGCAACCATCATCACAATCTAATTCCAGAACATTTCCATCACCTTCATCCAATCCTTGGGTTATGTTCCCTCCATTTTCTTTCCCCAAGTCACATCTGCATGTGTGCACAGGGCCTGTCCACTGGAAAGGCAGCTCATCAAGAAAGCCCAGCTCAGAAAGTTGCTTGAGCTTTTTCACTCCACGTGGTAGGAATTTCAAACTTTTCCATTAGGAAACTCACAAATTTGGAAATTTGCTTGGTAACTTGAAGATGATCACCCGTTTTCTTCCCAACCTCTCCTAGAGGTAGCTGAGTAAACAAAATCTGGGTAAGAAACTGATCCAAACATAAGTGAGTTGGAAAAGGACAAGGTTGGTGGGGAATGAACCCAACTCTAATGCCATGTGACTGGGAGCCTGGTGAAGTTTCTGTTCTCCTTTGTAAGAAGGGATTCCTTCACTACCCTGATGAACATTTGGCTGTCTGCTGGTGTCACAAACAGAAGGTGGTAGGATTACAGAGGTTAAAGCGATCATCCCTGACCTCCAAGGTCTTAGAATCCAGGGCTGGGGTTCCTAAAGGCACTGTGCAGAAAACCACCTAAGTATTTTATACAAAAAGTGAGTTTCCAGCCCAGCATGGTGCAATCTTTCTTAACAGCATATTGTATACTTACAGATTTGGTGGAGTTGCTCTTGTAGTAAGTCTTGTTACCACAATAAAAAAAAGTAGTTTTTCATTAATAAAAAAATCATAAAGTATGGATTCCCAGGCTTGACCCCAGAAACTCTGATCTGGGCTTGGGCCTGTGAATCTGAATGTTAATATGCCACCCTGCTGTGGGCGATTCTGGAATAGAGAGGCTCACAGATGTGTCTTTGAGAGCCTGGCCCTGTGTGGAAAAAGCTCATTAGTGGAGGTTTGGACTCTTCAGAAGAAAGATGCACTAGAAATTCAGTGAGCACCCCTAAAATTATTACAGTGTGCAACCAAAGGATTCTTCTTCATTTTAGAAGCTCAGCTTTGTTGCTAAAACCCTTACTTGTCTTCAACAATGTTTGGGATTGCTTCTAAACCATCTTAGAGAGAGTCTTGATTTTCTGATCTTGTGGGCAAATAATCTCCATGAAAATTTCCACAGTCATCTTATCCTTGTTGAAAATGAGCATAGTTGCTATAGAATCTTGCCCTAGTCCTAAGAACAGGTATATCAAAAAGGGGTTGTGTTGTCAGAGAAAATGATGCTGGCTCCTTCTCTCTGTTCACACATATGAAGAGCCTGTGGCTTCACCTTCTGTTACTGGTTTGTGTGAAATTTCTTCAAGGGGTTTAGTTGAAAAAGAGGTAATGTATATAAAATACCTGGAATATAGTAGGTATCCAATATTTTTCTGCAATAAAAGCACAATATAAAATATATAAACATATGAATCAAGCTTGATAGGGAAGCCATTTTTTTAACAAGCCACATTTCCCTCAAACAGTACTGCAGAATACAAAAATTCTGAGGTAATGAGTGGAAATCAAAAGTTGAACTCAGTTTTATTACACTTTTGCACAAGTGGAGTTCCAGAACATTCGCCCCAAAAGCAGTGACTGCGGGAGAAGGAAGCCTGCTGTTTGATCACAAGGCTCAGCTATATACCTTTCCATCATTTCAAACCCCGGGGGTGGTGGGGGGAAACTTAAAAAGCGTAAGAATCTGGCTTCACTGCAAGCCTCCACTCAGGGGCAATTACTGTCAGATTTACAATGTAGATAATTGTGAGCGGATGCGAAGAAATGGTACTTTCCCCACCTGCATTTGATAAAAGAAAGAATATCTACCCCCCCTCCTTTTTTTGGAACATGGACTGGCCCGTTGTGTGTTTAACTAGTAAGTGAAGCAAGAAGGGAGGAGAGAGTGAGTCTGCTACACACTGTCCTTGTCCCCGATGTGTGTCTCTGGAGAGATGCACATCACCTTAGCCTAGCTTCCAAAAGAAGCCTGGTAGGTGACCCAGGGAGGCAGGAGCCTCAGTCTACCTGGCTGAGGTCTGGTGTGTACAAAGCCTTCTTAGTTTGAAGCCCAGAATTCTGCCCAATTACACCAAGGAACAGAAGCAAGGAGCCTGGAGTAAGGTAAAGTGAGCATTGCAGAGGTGTCCTTTGCTTTGTTGGGAGATCAATGTGAAATCTCTGGCTTCCTGGTCATCACTGGGGTGTGAGGGGCAGGCACTGGGGTCCTCCAGCTGTGGTCAGCTGGCTGTTGGTGAGAGGCTACTTGCTTTGCTTTGCTTTGAAATATATTTTCCTTATGCTTTTGTTTTTCTGATGATGCAGATGAACTGGGGAACTTTTTTCATTGATAGTCTAAAGAGCAGACAAAGCTGGTTATTTTGCTGAGAGCCAGAGGGTTTTGACTTTTTAAATCAGGCTTGTGTTTTCTGGGCTGTTACTCTGAAAACTGAAAGACAGAGTGGTTTTCAGACTTGTTTTGTTTTGCCTGTGGTTTGTAGAGCTCTGTGGAATTTACTTGAGAGATGAAAGGACTTTAGAGTCATGTTTAGGGGAGTTGGTAAGGCAGTTGCCATGGGGCATTGAGATTTATCTGTCACTATAAATATATGAGACTTCTTTAATCAGTTCTCCATGAGTGCAAATGAGGAAGCAAAACGTTTGGGTATTTTTCATGTCTTGTTGCAGCTATAATTTGAGACAGCTTACTGGCAGCTTCTTTTACCACCTTTGGGCATTCAATGAAAGAAATCTGGCCTTTATAAAATGCAAATAGTTTTCCTACAAACCTAGCTATTAATCAACTCATATTCTAAAGTTTATTTTGGGCGGGAAAGAGTTTTATAGTGTGCTGTGCTGGTGTTAGAGAAATGAGACAAGAAAATTATCCCAACTGTGAAAGAAATATATTTTATGATTTGTGGAGTGAAAGTAGAGATTTTTTTTTTTTTTTGAAAGTAGAGATTTAAAAGAAATCTGAGCCTGTTTTCTCTGAAAGTCAAAGGAGGAATGTTAAGAGGATGTGGAGTTATTTAGAGTATCCAAACAGGTCCTGACAAGTGAAAAACTAATTAAAATATAATTGTTGTCATTCTATAATGGATCAAAAGGCTTGTTAGGTCATGATATCCTTATAGAGTGGGTTAATTTGCCATGGATCATTGGTATGATTTACTTTTGAGAGGGTATCTTAAGATGAAGTCTGAGGCCAGGCCAAGCCTCTTGCCGCAGCACTTTGAATGAAAGTTATTGCCAACTGTTTTCAAGTCGGTGGCTTAGGCAATTTCATGGGTCAGTAAACCTAACCCTCAAATCAGCAACTTCTCTCACAGGTGCAGGGTATCGTACCATGGCAACAGAGGGCTGCAGGTTTTTCTCCCCAACTAAACTCCTGCTGAGCTAAAAGGATAGAGCAGACAGAACTGCTTGGTTCTTGCTCCCTGACTCCGGAGGGATGAGAGCCTTTTTCTAGATTTTGCCTTCTGTAGACTTGGATTTCTCAGCCTCAGCACTGTTGATATTTTGGATGGAGTCACTCTCTGTGGTGGGGACTGTCCTGGAGGATGGTTTAGCAGCATCCTAGACTTCTACCTGCCAGGTGATAGTACTCACTCCTCAGCCACAGCACCCAGAAATGTCCAGACATTGCCAGATGGTCCCTGTGGTTGAGAATCATTGCTCTAGAGAAGCCACTTTTGAGGCTCACTGCTATAGGTAAGGAGGAAAGGGTCATGAGAGGTGGCCAGAACCAAAAGGAGATACTCAGAGTCCAAGGAGAGTGACGGGACACATATTTCGGCCTGCTCATTTTGGTTTTTATTTTGTTTTGCTTTTGTTTACCTGGGGCAGGCTCAAAACCATTCTGAATATCCATTCTTCTTTCCCCTAAGGACCTTATTTTATAAGTGCTATGGTTATATAGAGGTCAGGTTTCTCTACACTGAAAGTCTATTTTAACTGCATCGTGAGAAGGTAGTATATAGAAAAGAAAGGGAATTCATATGGTGCCCCATTTATAAACCAATGAATTAGCTATAACTCATGCATTTTGCAAATGAAGGTGTTTTTGATATGTGAGTATAGATTAGTTCAACATAACTGTTTGTTTTTGTTTCTTCTGGAATTTGCAGATAAATACTTTCAGTTCTTTCTCCCCCCTCATACACAATCTCTGTCCCAGTGAGTTTCAAACTCCAGGTTTTGGGAGGAATTGACCTTGTTATTTTGTCAACAAAATAGGCTGTTCATAATCTTTAACCAATTCACAGATAATGAAGTTGATGGTTGGAATTTTTATTGTTTGTTTGCTCTCAAAGGTTTACAAATTACTAGATGAAGGAAGTTGTAGCAAAGAAATAATGGTCCAAAACATCTGAAATCATCCTAGTCTAGTTGTACTTTCATGTTTGCAGTAGTCCAGTATTCTAATAATAACTGTAAGTTTCATCAACATATGTTAAAATCTCATAAAATAGGTGTCCTTCTTTCTTTCTTTTTTTTTGGAAGTATTGGGGTTTGAACTTAAGACCTCCAGCTTGCTTGGTAGGTGCTTTACCACTGCCCATTCCCCCAGCCGTTTTTGGTGTTTGTCATTTTTCAGACAGGGTCTCACGTTTTTGCCTAGGCCTATATAGACTGAAGTCCTCCTTCCTATGCCTCCCACATAGCTGGGACCACAGATAAGTGCCACCACATCTGACTTGTTGATTGAGGTGGGAGTCTCACTAACTTTTGCCCAGGCTGACCTCAAACTGCAATCTTGTGATCTCTGCCTCCTGTGTAGCTGACATCACAAGTGTGTGCCACCGCTCCCTGCCCCAATAGTTCTCTTTTATAAAGAAATTGTGTGTGTCACTTTTTCATGGTGTTTGTCCAAGAACATGGTGCATTGCCCGGAGCTCCTTGACTCCGCATTCAGGGTGGGGCACACTGAAGAAACTCACCCAAGCCCAGCTGGAGCAGGGAGCTGTGCCTGGGATTGACTGAACATATCAGAAAACACCTTGGCCTGTTAGAGTCCACTCTTAGTGGTAGGGTTGGGCTGGCCCATGGTGTTATCAAAGTTGTGGTTTCTACTTTTGGTTGCAAAGCATGTTTTCTGTTTACCTCCACTTGGAGGAACCAGTGTGTCACAAGGGAACCATGTGTTCCCTTAGAAACATTTCCTCATTTTTAAAATTCACCTCCACATTCACAAGACATGAGATCCACAAGGAGAGAGAACTTTAGTATTTTAGGTTCACAAGCCCCAGGAGGTAGCACAGGGCTTGCACATCTGGGCTTCCCTGTTGTGTAACTACTTGTGAGCTCAGTAGTTGTTGAATAAGTAAGTGTATGTCAGTGATTCCCAGGAGCTTGTTTTGCAGCAAGCTTGCATGTCTGAGTAAAAGCAGAAAGGGATGAGTGGAGTGATGTCTTCCTCACCCATCATAAGGTCACGGCCAAAGTCCTATAGCAAAAGACAGGTTGACAAGGGAAAAGCATGACAAGCTTATTTCCTCAAACTTTTACATGACATGGAAGCCTTCAAAATGAGACCCAAAGACCTAGGGAAAACTGTCTATGCCTTAGTTTGATGAAGAATGCTCAGTTGTATACAAATGTGATAGAATAATGATACACAGGGAGAACCCTGCAAAGCCTGTCTGTCCAGATTCCTCTTGGGCTCTCTGTAACTTTCCCCCTGCTGGGTATAGGACAAGACCCCTCTGGAACAAAAGTATTTATGACCTACTATCAAACAAGGTGGGTCAGAGAATTTCTTTATGGCAGCTCCTACAGAAAGGCGGGGGAAGATTAGAGTGATATTTCTAGATTTTATTGTAGACTTTGGGAAAAAGGGTTGTAGTTTCTGTTACAATAAGGAAAAAGAGGAATGATGGAGAGGAGGGCAGGAGAAGGGTCAGAAAGAGGCCTTCCAATCTCAGTGTGCCAAAAGCACCAGGTCTTGTGATATTGTTTTCTGAGCCCCATCATCTGTAACCCATGTCCCATCCACGTCATCTGTTCTGTGTATTTTTTTTTTTTCAAAAGAACAAATCTAGTCCCTATCAGGGTGAATTTTAATGTACAAGGAGCCACCACTGGGCTCTTTTATGGAGGCAGGAAAAGTGGATTTGTGGATTTGTAGAGTTTGAGAGGAAAGCTTACTAAATTTTTTATGAGACCCAGAAATTAATTTCTGCTGTTATTTTAACTCCTCCAGGCTAACACTTCCTTCTGACTTCAGTAAGACCATGAGCGTAGTCACCATAAGCAAGGCACTCATAATCTCCTTGTTTTTAAAAAAAATTACCCAGCCAAAAGAAAGAGCTTATGATCAGAAGTGAACACACCTCTTGCTTAGCCTCGCTTGTCCTGGCATGAGGGCTCAGGGCTGAGGAGTGTCTGCACAGGGATCACTGTAAGGAAATGTAGGCCCCAAAGTGACCACGTGGAGAGGTTACAAGTCACAATCGTGTTGCTTCAAAGAGTACATTTTTTTGAACCAGGTATCAGGGCATGGAGCGTCCAGATGGGGCAGATGACTTGGAACTTGGAACTTTCCTAGACTATGTAGCATGTAAAGATGCTGCAGTGAGAGATAAAGAAGCCTCAGCTCACAAACCAGGCCCCACTCATTTTTCTGAGTAGAGGCTAGGTCATGAGTATACAAGTCTGTCACTGAACCCACTACCCAGTGTGCCAAACACCAAGACACAGAGTTGTGCCAAAGAGAAAGAATTTCTTCAAAAGGTGGCTTAGTGTGAAGGGGAAACCTAAGTCTTAAGCCTTCCTTCCCGAGACATCTATGGGATGAAGAAACAGGGTGATTTAAGGCATGGGAAAAGGTGGTTGATGATGCAGTAGTCACTACCTATGCATGGGTGATCAGTCTTCATGGCTCTTCATGGGAAGTGTGTTAAAAAAAATGGGAGGTGTTAGCGTGGTCTGAGGGTGGAGGTTTTTGCCTCTTGATATCAAAAGATTACTCATGAGATCCCTATGCAGGTCCAAATGAAGTTGGCAGATTTGACAAATGGCCTTCAGGTCGCTAAAAAGTAGCCTAAGCAAACATTGTCATCATAACCAGAATGTCACAGGCGTAATATAGAGCAAAGGTAACGGGAGACTAGTAAGATATT